TACTTACTCTTGTTTTTTGACTCTGAATGTCATAAAATCAGTAATATTATCTGTGAAATTACAAACTGAACACCTGTTGGCAAAATCCATAGCTTTTTATTGCCGTAGTTTTCAATTTTGTCATTTTTACAAACACATCATGAATTTTATGTTATAGATATTAGTCTTGATTTGTCACCCCTGGTTTTTCAGTGGCACCCCCATGGCCCCTCCTGAAAAAAAAATTGTGCAGGCGCCACTGGTGACATACTGTAGTTACTTTATGGCATAGAATTGAACTATATGCCTGAAAAATGCATGACAGTGCCCCTTTAACCAACAGTCAATGGATGCACAATAGTCACTGATACACACTATTTTATCACAGAGCTAATGCTAATAAACCCACCTCGTCCTCTTAGAACCGCAAAGAGGTTCCTGTGTGCACTCCACTTATACAACTAACCACCAAGAGAGAGCGCTGTTCGACCTCTTCTACATAAACCCAAATAAAATGTGATGTGAAATCACAATGTGTAAAAAAATTCTGCAGGTGCCACTGGTGGGGGTTGTGTATGTATGTGTGTCCGTGTGTGTGTGTGTGGGGGAAGGGGGGCGGGGTCTGCGTCAAAACACATAACAGTGTCTGAGGCGGCGCAGTTACAATGACTGCTATATTTGTTTGTAACACTGTGCCACTTTTCTCCTGCCTTTAACATGTTATATAAGACTCCCACTATTTGGTGCAYTMTGATGATCATCATATATTCTGCATRTTCATGAAGGCAAACATTAAATGGATTACAGCTGCTATTTTGCTCATTTGACAGACTCATCTCGGAGCACATGGTTAATAAATCAGCTTTGTGTGCTGTCAAGTTTTTTGTGCTCATAAACCTTCAGTAAATCAGCCGCCAAAAGTAAACTTGTAAATGTACGCCCAATGATTACTTTCTGAGAGTTTGATTAAAATCTGTTTAATGCAACACACAGGCGCAGGCCAATAAACATTATTCCTCCTCCTTCACCTTTGGCGATAATCACACCATTTTGCATTTAATGAAAACATTTGAACAGCTGACTTAATGTTTGGTTGCATTAAGAAAAATGTGWAAACTGAAAACGTACTTGTGTCAAAGTTAGGGTTTCTCCTGAAAGAAAGTTCATTGACAAAAAAAATGCTCTTGGAGAAAACTAACGTGTTGTTTTTTTCCGTCTTAGTCACCATTTCTGTGTGACATCAGTTTCCTGGTGTGTGTTTGGGTCCGACATGAAGCATGTTGGTGGTTCATGCCAGCCTCRGTGGCTCAGGGTGTGGACCCTCATGAGTGGTCAACAGATTTGTCTGTGAAGAAATTCCCCGGGGATGTAATCATGGTTAAGTCAGGACTTCAGTGACAGCAACACCACAAACCAAGGAACTTCTTTTATTTATTTATTTATTT